AAGAAATTCCAAAACAGACTTGATTGTGAGCAATATTTACTTAAAAGCGTGTATGAAGTCTAACATTAATGTCTTGGATAAATCTGGGTTCTACTTGAAAAATGAGAAAATTCGCATAAACCAACAAGTGGTCTTGTGAGTGGTGGATAATTGTGATTGCATTTGCTTTTTAAGTACTTTTTATTGCCTGTTTTTGCAATTTTTATTTTATGTTTTGCTTTTTCTGTTGGGGTTTAGTACCCTCTCAATTTTTCTTCGGAAAATACTTTTTAGTCCTCAAATTATGTGCATATGTCAATTTGGCTCCCAATCTTTCAATTATACCAATTTGCTCCCACAAGTATTCAATCGTTTTTGTCTAATAAACGTGCTTTCATTTCTTGTAGATTAAGTTAATTCTAGATGATTTTCACCTTAGGCTAGACATGACACAAGTATTCAAACACAATGTTAACACCAAATTTGCAACAAATTTAAAGATGAGAACCACAACATGTTTGTTGTTTTCACTTTTTTTTTCTTTCCTCAACTTCATGGGCAGCTTCGGCTCCTTCTCACGAAGATTTTCTTCAATGTCTTTCCCTTCATTCTCAGAACTCAAACTCACTATCCAATGTCATTTACACCCCAAACAATGCCTCATATTTATCAATCTTATTATCATCCGTACGAAACTTGCGATTTATACCACCTGCTAAATTAGAATCTCCGATAATTGTTACACCATTGCATGAATCTCAAATTCAGGCAGCCATATATTGTTCAAGAAAGCTTGGCATGGAAGTCAGAGTTTGGAGTAGAGGACATGATTACGAAGGCCTTTCTTTCCTTTCAGAAGTCCCTTTCGTAATAATTGATATGAGAAATCTTCAATCAATCTCCATTGACACTGAAAAGAATACTGCATGGGTCCAAGTTGGTGCCACAATTGGCCAGCTCTATTATAGGATTGCTGAAAAGAGTCGAACTCTTGCCTTTCCTGCTGGTGTTTGCCCTACAGTGGGTGTTGGTGGCCACTTTAGCGGGGGAGGGTATGGCATGATATCTCGTAAATATGGCATTGCTGCAGATAATATTGTTGATGCACAAATCATCGACGTTAATGGAAGAATTCTTGACCGAAAATCTATGGGGGAAGACCTCTTTTGGGCCATTAGAGGAGGTGGAGGTGCTAGCTTTGGAGTCATTGTTGCATGGAAGATAAAATTACATGTTGTTCCACAACATGTAACTGTTTTCAATGTAACCAGGACTTTGGAGCAAAATGCGACCAAGCTTGTGCATCGGTGGCAATATGTTGCAGACAAGATTGATGAGAATCTACTCATCCGACTTTTCTTAAGAACTACCAATTCCACTTCAGATGGAAAGAAAACGATACAAGCTGCCTTCACTACTTTGTTTCTTGGTGGAGTTGATGAACTCCTCCCATTGATGCAAGAAAGTTTCCCTGAGCTAGGTTTGGTGAAAGAAGATTGTACGGAAATGAGTTGGATCGAATCTATCCTCTACTTTGCAGGCTTTCCGAGTGGAGAATCACCAGATATTTTGCGTGATGGGATTGCTGTTGGTAGATATGAGCTCTCTTTTTTCAAAGGAAAATCAGACTATGTGAAAGAGCCTATTTCTGAAAACGGACTGGAAAGGATTTGGGAATGGTTATATGAGGAAGAAGTCGGGGCAGCCGAGTTGCAATTTAGTCCTTACGGTGGAAGATTGGGTCAAATTGTGGAGTCTGAGATACCTTTCCCTCATAGATCAGGGAATATTTATATGATACATTATGGTGTGGGCTGGGCTGAAGAAGGGACAGCAGCGGCAGAAAGGCATTTGAGTTGGATTCGAAGGCTTTATAGTTTTATGGCTTCTTATGTTTCCAAGTCTCCAAGAGCTGCGTATCTCAACTATAGGGATCTTGACTTGGGTGTGAACAATAAAGACAACACAAGCTATACACAAGCAAGTATTTGGGGTCTTCGATATTTCGAGAACAACTTCAAGAGATTGGTACGAGTGAAGACGATGGTTGATCCCAGTAATTTCTTTAGAAATGAACAAAGCATTCCTTCTATATCACCTTGGTGGAAGAAGAAAGGTGATTAATTGGATCCTAGAGAAGATTAGAAAGTGTTGCCTAAGTGCTGCATCTTTTATATTATATTCATAAATAAAGCTCATTGGATATAGAGCAGATGTTTATGTACTTTACATATGAAACGCATAATAAAAGTTTGATTGCTTAATTTCATATCTAGATTGATAATTTGATCTTATTTGCTTGATTAGAGTAAAAATTGCATGTCAAAAGAAAAAGAAAGAGAAGAAGAAGAAAGAAAGAAACTTAATTTGAACATTGTGCCGGTCTGACCCAAGTAGAAAAACATTCGCCCCTTGTTATAACCCCTAGTATAGCCACTTTTTTTCAGAATCCTCATTTCTATCGGCTGTGATCCTTATTGATCCTTCATAGGAAGGTTGTGAAATAGTGGCTTGTTCCTTTGTGAGTAAGCATAAGCAACCATTAAGGGATATACAAATTATCTGTTGGGTTCCACTTTTTATCCTTAAATTATAATCTCGGTCCCACTTCATAATTTTGACCTTTGAACAACTTAAATTAGTTTTATATTATCTCAAACCCAATGTTTTCTATGTTTTTGATAGAAAATATTTTACGTGCAATTATGTTTTTGGACATTAAGTGAAAGAAAATTGCATAGCTTGGAGGAAAATTTGAATCAACTTTCTATTTCAGTTAGAACAAATGTCCCTTTAACTGGGCTAAGGCGAAACCAATAACCTTAATTAGTTAGTGGTACAATCTGAAAAATATGGTAGTTGAGTGAGAAATGTAAGATATGGACAATTATGAGGTTATAGTGTAACATATCCATTGGTTTTACGTTGAATGAATTTTTTTTTTTTGGTAGGGGGAGTAGGGAGGGGGTAGGGGGGAGGGGGATGTTTAATGGATTCGTCATAATTCATCAATTTCAATTTCAATGCTCCTACGCAAAGTTGTGCTAGGCCAATTTTGAAATTGAGATGTAAAGTGGTCCATTGTCTTTTAGGCAGTTCATGCTTGTATTCTAAGCTATGTAATCAGGCTGGTACTATCAAACAAATTACCCTCCATTCTAAAGGACTGCAATGAATCACAATGACTTTAAGCCCATTTTTAATCTCATGCGATGTTCATAGCCCAAGTATTGCAGAATTGCAACCGAGTGTTCGTGATTTGATTTTGATATTCAGATTTGTGTACCCTATATCTACTTAATGGCATTATCTCAAAATTCTAAATTTTCCAACTGGTCCAGTTGGGGACACAATGCTATTGTGCATTAATGTCGTTGTGGAATCAAGTCTACTGTGAAAACATCATGAACACAAGGCAATATGGGCATGAGGTTTTACGGATGCGCACGCTATGGGGTACCAATTTAGTCTTGAAATTAAGTTAATAATTGTATAAAATGATTCTTACTCATTGCAACTTTGATCTAATTTAGATTTGACCACCTTTTTTTTTTCCAAAGATAAAATGTATTAATATAAAACGGATATACAATGGTAATCACCCGCAAAATGTCCAATGAAGTCACTGAGAACTCAAAGACAGAAACAAGAAAACCCAAAAATCCAAGGCTCAAGACACAAGTCTGTAAGAGATGCCCTGAGTGAGAGCATCTACCATAGAATTGTTGACAAGAATACATTTGTAGGCAAAAAAAGAGCATGAAACCAATTCTTCAAACTCGATCAATAGAAACAAACAAGGACAAATCTGCCCCTTAAACCACTGATATGCAAAATAGCAGCAGCAAACATCAAGTGGACAGCCCAGAACAACGCAAAAACAGCAGCATAGCAAGCCATAGCAGTAGCAAAAATCAGAACAGCCATAGCAGTAGGATAGCAAGCCATAGCAGCAGCAGCAAAAATCAGAACAAAGCAAAGCAGCCCATCTCAACATAGCAGCAGCAAACATCAAGCGGACAGCCACAGAACAGAGCAAAAACAGCCCAGAACAAAGCAAAAACAGCAGCATAGCAAGCCATAGCAGCAGCAAAAATCAGAACAAAGCAAAGCAGCCCATCTCAATATAGCAGCAGCAAACATCAAGGGGACAGCCACAGAACAAAGCAAAACACAGCCCAGCTCCACATAGCAGCAACAACCCATTTGTAGTAGAAAAACAGAAGAAGGCAAACCAGCCCAGCTCAGCATAGCAGCAACAACCCATTTGCAGTAGTAAAACAGAACACGGCAAAACAGTCTAGCTCAACATAGTAGCAACAACCATCAAGCTGTAACAGTGGGCAGCAGACATAGCAACCATTTGACCACCTTGCGGATTCTTTGAGTGGATAATGTGCCAAAGAAGCAGAGACCTGGTACTGAAGGTGGCAAATAAGATTAGGAGGCTGGAAATGAATCAGAAAAAATTAGTCACAATACTTAGATTGTATCAAATTATGACTGATATGAATTATGAAATTTGTTGCTGTTTCATCTAGTTGCATTTCATACATGAATGAATGATAGAGATGCTTAAATAATAATTCCATATCACATAACCAAAATAGTTCCATTACAAAAAGTAGTCACTTACTCTCCCCTCCCAATGGTACCAGTCCCAGAACCAACCCCCTAGTAGTAGAATCACCTATCCTAGAAACCCCCATGCTAGAACCATCCGCTCTCCCAGCCACTCCTCCAACGCCATGCAACCCACTTCCAACCTAAACAGATCCCCTTCCTCTACCCCTTCTTGGTGGTACCTTCATTCTTTGTGGAGGTGTTGGATCAATGCAATGTATCCCACTTGGTCCATGAGATGCCTGCACATAAAACAAGATTAAGACCCAATTGGCAACTTTTCAACATTTTTTTCCACAACTTCTACTTGTTATTCCACTCTATCAGCAAGTAGGGCTTGAATATTTACGATTTCGCAGGGTATCCATCAATGATAGAGAGAGAAGGAGAGAGAGAGAGAGAGAGACATACAGATGGAGAGATAGAGAGAAATAATCCAAGTTCTTCATCCTTGGTGGGTTGCTGGATTTATTAATATGAGGGTAATTTAATACTTTTCAAATTTCAGTGATGGTAGGTTAGATTTGCAGTTTTTTCTAAAGTTGAGAGGGATTAAGTGCAACCCGTAAAAGTAGAGAGGGTGAAGTGAGACCGAGACTTAGTTCATGGGGTTTTTATTTTTTACCCAATTGAATTTGACCAACACAAAAAATTATGAGTAAAATCACTTGAGAAAAATAAAGGTAGCAAAGACTCTAAATTATACGGAACTTAATGTAGAGAGCAAGTAGAAACAATCGCAATTACATTGGTGTTTTAGGCCTAGGTACCAAGCCCCAAGCATTACTTTGTGTGCATTGGTTTAGCTCTTCATACATGGAAATAAGTCAATTGTCATCTTCAAGAGTCTCACTCACATTCTTTGGTTCAAACATGGAGACGTAGCAATTTTGGTCTAACTCATCTTCAAGTTGTATCCTAGTCCTCACCCCTTTGTTCAGGTTTCCTAGAATGTTACTAGGTGTGTGCTTAATTCGAACCCAAGAAATTATTGGTTTTGTGAGAAGTTCATTAACTTTTTGAGGTGGTAGAAGTAGATTTTGGTTCGCCTTTATCTCCTATTGAAGCACTAGTTCCCTCATGCTCCTTTTTCTCAAGTATGCCTCTCCTATGTCATCAATGATAACATTAATGGATTCCAAAATAGTAGATGTTGTCAAATTAAATACTCTAAACACCCTACTATTTGTAGAGTATCCAAGAAATATTCATTGATCGCTTCGGGAGTCAAATTTTCTAAGTTCCGTCTCTCTCTCGAAATGTAACACCTACACCTAAAAACTCAAAATATTTCAAATTAGGCTTCTTGCCTTTCCAAATCTCATAGGGGTTTTACATGTGCCAGGCCTAAGCTAGACTCTATGAACAGTGTAATATGCGGTGTTCACAATCTTGGCCCAAAATCTCACAAGCAACCCCTTACTATGAAACATAACACGTGCGATTTTTTGAATGACTTTGTTTTTTCTCTCAACCGTGCCATTTTGTTGTGGGGTATTGGGTGTTGAAAACTCATGGTTGATGCCATGTTTATCATAGTAAGCATAGAGATCAGAATTATCAAATTCATTATCATGATCACTTCGAATTCTAACAACTGTACTTATGGTTTCACCTCGTTCATTTTGATCTTTTTGGAAAATATTTCTAAAGCTAGCAAAAACCTCATACTTTTCTCTCAAAAATGCAACCCAAGTTTGCGTAGAGTGACCATCTACCATTAATAAGATGTACCTCTTACTTACTATGCTCTCAGTTTGTATAGGACCCATGATATCCATGTTAATGGGCTCTAGGGGTCACTTAGTTGTGATAGTCTTCAATTCCTTGTGAGGGACTTTAGGTTGTTTCACTAATTGACATGGACCATACACTTTGATAAAAAACTTACTCAACTTTAGGTGTTCCCCTCCCTAATTGACATGGACCATACACTTTGATAAAAAACTTACTCAACTTTAGGTGTTCCCCTCCCTAATTGACATGGACCATACACTTTGATAAAAAACATACTCAACTTTAGGTGCTCCCCTCCCAAGTTCCTTGCTGATAATTCAGTTCAGTTCCTTGTGGTTCATGTGACCTAACCTCTAGTGTTAGAGTATGACTTCATAAACATATGTTTTATGACACAATAGTGAAGGGCATTGAGATATGCAATAACAATTATCTCTCAACCTAACCCCTTCCAAAAGTAAAATTATTTTATCCTTCAATGCAAGGCATTTGTCTCTTGTGAAGTGTGCAACATTGCCATCATCACACAATTGGCTTACACTGATAAAGTGATCATTTAACTCTTTCACATAGAGGACATTATCCAATTTTGTCGTGCCAATTGTTGAATGGAACCCTTCCTAACAACCTTAGAGATACTATAATCTCCAAATATAACAGTTCCACCACTAAACCTTTCCAATATGCAAAAGTAGGATTCCTCTCCAGTCATGTGCCTAGAACAATCAATGTCGAACAGTGTGTACTACAAAATACAACTCATGACTCGATAATGTAGCCCTTCTTAACTACGTATGTAAGAAAATAAATAAATATGCCTAAAAGTGTCTAAGTGTAATTCAAGGCAACCACAGTCTGATATCAATTGTTGTTCTAGAAAAGGAGGAGAAATGAAGTGATTTTTTCCTCACAATTATAAACATAGAGTGCACGACAATACCTAGAGAGGGAGTGTGAATAGATTTTTAAATTTTAGCACAATTGGTTACTAATTTAAAACCTAATTCTACCTGAATTACCTCTTCTCAATTAGATATAATAATTAACGGTTAGAACCTCTTTTAGTCACCACAAACCCTCACACCCATGAAGATTGCTCTTAATTAATATTAAATTAATTCACTCGAACAATCAATCTCACAACAATCCCAAAATTGTAAACCTTAACGCAACTATGGATGAAAATATTTCAATCAATTATACTACAAACACATAGTGTGCTAACAAATGCAAGTGTAAATGTAAAAAAACAAGATGAACACAAGCACCTCGGGAAAAATCGCATGGAACCACTCGGGTTTCACCAAAGCCTAATATACTACTCACAAAGTCAATCTACAAGTACTTGATGTCGGTGGGAGGGAGGTTATAGAGCAGATGTTACTAGAATGAAAATCATGTTTCAATCCTGACTGAGGAGCATATATCGCTTCAGCGACCATGAAACCGCTCGAGCGATGGTCAAGGATGCTTGAACAAGCTCACAGAGTTCACCCTGTACTCCATCTTGTGATCTTTTTCCCTTTTCTTCCCTAAGTAATAAAGAGACTGATCTAGCGAATGCTAGCAAGCATAGGCTACTTCGTGTTAGTTTTTTTAAGTCTAAAACTAAGCAAAAAATTGGTACTCTTGTGCATTAACGGGTGTTGCTCCAGAGAGGTCCGCTAATGGCTTAATTTATGTTTTCAAAACACAAAATGGTTTATAAAATATTTTTATTTAAAATCACCTAGGTGCCATGTACGAATTAATCCCTTATTCTATTTTAACTCTAATCCTCCTAAATTAAATAAACTAAGGGATCATCTTAGGTATTTAGGTCATTACTTTTATTCTAAGCTTTAAGGTGTGACTGGAGTTTGAATGGTGTAGCTTTGACGTTTGATTTTCTCTCTTTAATGACTCTTTCGAATCTTCATCCTTGATAGCATTATGACTATAAAATAGGTTGAAATTTACAATGGACTCTACGAAATTGAGCAATTACAAATATATATCTAACACCCTAAAAGATTGGATCGTATAGTTCGTATTAATCATGAGTGGTCTATTATGTTGATTGCTCTCTGGTGTGGCAATGCATCCATATTTCTACACTCTCTCTTTTATGTACTTTTTGTGTAACTACTATTGTTTCACATGAAATAACGATGTTTTAGCTATGTATGTATCACAAGATGATTTTTGTAATATCCAGTCTTTGCAAATTAGTTATTTTCAAACTCGCATGCTTTGGAATTGGGTTACTCAATTGATTTGTTAATGCTCACCTTATGTTGTTTCCCTCTTTTCAAATTAGCTGATGACAGGGGATACGGTGTATAGTTTAACTGCTTGTTTTATTTATTTCTCATGTTTGGTGTTTGAGAATTTGTAAAGAATTTAAGTTGTAATAAGCTTTATGCGTGTGAGGTAAAATGTAACATAACGTATGACAGAGTGGTTCTGTTTGTTGTCTAAATGTATGTTAGTTTGAGCTTTTAGCAATTTATGTATTATTCTATATGGGTTTGGGCCGAGTTATTACATTTGCGCCGAGTTAATTATATAGCATGTTCGTGTGACTCGAAGGGTTATACATCACATGCCTAGGTAATCCAAGGTGTGACATGTCGAATTGAGAAAGTATCTTTGGGTATTTTCATCATTTAGTCATTTCCATTTGATTTGTTACCAAAACATAACTAACAAAGAGTCCATGTGTAATTTCATATACCTGAGAGGTTTTGTATGATTAAGTGACAAACAACAAATAGTACTGTGGAGAAAATACAATACTTCACTTGTAGGATCATTTTCACTCGATTTTAAACAAGGAATTGCACATTTTATCTAGAGGGTGTGAATATGTTAATTAACATTTAAGCTCGGATGACTACCGATTTTAACTAAATCTATCACAATTACCTCGTCGCACAATAATATGTAAGTTTAGTGTGTGAACCCCGTTTCAAACATCGCAACCCAAAACACCCACATAGATTAGTGTATTAATTTTGTTAATTTGTTGATTAACACTTAATCTGACATGATGATCCAAACCAAGACAACTAAAACCCAATCAACTAAGTTTATGTGATACATAGATTCAAACAATCAATTCATCAAACACAGTGTCTGTGTGTGTATCAAATCACACCGGCCCCTATGTAAAAGTAATAAATATATAACACAAGTGATTTGTTGACGCATAAATTCTTTTCAAGAAAAATTGTGGGAAACATTCTCAATTCACCAAAATCTAATCCGCTACTCTCAAAATCAACATACAAGAAATTGAGTCTTATACCTTAACCAATACAATGGTTAGATGCTCCCTTCTTCCAATATGTTTCTCTTCTAAAAGCCC